AATCAACCAGTAGTAGGGCCTCTTCATTTGCTCTGTTATCTTCAACGTTCAGCCTGTTGTGGCACTCGTCAGCCTGACCGACCTCTTGGGGTCTTGCGAACCATCGAGTCACAGGGTGTGCGTCACAGACCCTCTGTTCCCCGTACGCTTGCTTGATCTCCTGTGCCTCACTGGATCTTGCTTCCATTTCCTCATCCGCTATCTCTTCTCTGTCTCTCAACCTACAGGGCATCATATTCTCTCTCATCCATCCATCCAAATTCTGCTCATCTATACTTTAAGTGATCATGATCCCTTAATCTATACAGGTTTCTCACAAAGTGAGAACGCCACACTTCCCCAGGAAGATAGTCACCGATGCGGAGAAGCTCCCAAGGTTGTCTAGACTGTAACCTCCGACTGCTCCAACATCCTGTTGCCTGAGCACCGCAAACGATGCTATCGATGATCACTATTAAATTTGAATCAGTGCCTGTCACTTAGCGCCTCACTTAGTCTTTGTCCTTTCTCATCCAGTCTTTCTCCATTTTCGTCCGTGCAGCTCTCTTTGATTGTTAGCATGGCCTTCTGTGCTGGACCCATCGCCTTCCGTTTCCTTCTTGAATAATATAGTCATATTAGTGAACTTCACATTGGCACAAATACCCCAGGGCTGTGCTGCACACAGGAGGATATCAAGTCAAGTTGTTGCGTAATGCATCAACATCCTCGCTCGCCGGCGCCTGCAGCGCCGGCCTCTTCAACGAGGTCAAATCGTTCAACAGATCACAGAGAGCTGGACACAGGCCCGAGCTCACCGGCTTCAGATGTCAGGATGCATAATGGCCGGGGCTTGGGTATTGAAACGGGGACTGAACCATCTGAGCAGGTACAGCGAAACACACAACCTGCAAAGGAAGCAATGGCAAAGCTCAATCAGATCATAACGGTAAGCTCCTGATTCTTCAAGATGATTGTATTCCACGTTGGGAAGACGCTAATTTAGTTTGGGCGTCTTTCACTAGAACTACCACACGAAAGCTGTGCTTATTATCTTACATTCGAGAGTCGATCTCCCGCCGTCGTTCAATAAGGGATCTGATACTCCAAGGGTGAATCGCTGGGTATGTTGGTCTTCGACCATTATGGATGCACTTCGCTTGTTTATCGTGCGATTTGTTATTCATTGCAACTATCGAAGCTTAGCTAATTGCTGTGGTTTCAATCTAGTTCAATGTCGAAATCGAAGATACAGACATTCTCCGGGAGCAACTGCGGATATGGAGGACATGTGATGCAACCGAAAATCGACCGCCGCCGTTGATTATCGAGACATACTTGGAGACGAAGGGACTCACAAACAATCAGAGCCTCGTGATCCTCGATGAGAATGGGAAGAGATGGGATGTCCTAGAAGCGCTTGCTGCTTCTGGTCAGGCGAGTCCTGTAAGACCACCGCAGTCAAACTCTGACGATGTCATCCTTGAGCGTTGGAGAGTTGAATTGGGTTCTGCATCCTCCAAACCACCCTCCGACCTCGGCTCTATCCTTCCGACCGTATACAAGAAAAGTATTGTCCTCTTCCGCTCTTTGTTCACATATTCCAAATTTCTGCCCGCATGGAAGTTTGCAAAGCGCAATGGAAGGCTTCGCAGCAACCCGGCTTTACAAATCAGATATAGAATCCTAGACGGGCGCACGGCTTCAGATCGCCGCAAAGTCGACCACTTGACTGTTCCGCTGTACGAGGGCAACAACAAAGTGGTGGAAACGTATAGCTTTGGGGTTACGGACTCACCTGCAGGCCCTTTCTCGGTTGAGGTCACTTATCGAACCAACTGTGACTTCCGAGTGGATGATTCTGAGGCTCTATTGAGTTCACGCTTTATGGGAGCCGACGATGAAATATTTCGTCCTTCGTTTCCGTCGAAGGATGTCAATAGAAGAGCTTTCAATGCTGAACCGGGGTCGGCGCCGTTGGAGAAAAGGACCGTTGAGGAACCCGACCCCGGTCGTGCGTATGGAAGCTTATCAACCTTCCATCATGTAGGGCCTGCGACGGGTGCAAGTCCCATATCAGCCCTCCGGGCTGCGAGAGAATCTGTTACATCGTCACCATCACCACCCCCTTCGGCTTCTAGGAGGCCTTTATCAGCTGTCAGAGCTGCACCAACTGGGCGCGCTGCTGCTCTCGCTGCCGAAGCCAATCCTAGTCCCCTTAGGCGACCTTCTATCTCGTTCCAGCCATTCAAAGCGCCGCCGCTTTCTGCTTCACCTTCTCTCATTGATCCGCCCCTCGGGGCCTCTCCTCGCTCCCGGCCGATAATTAGTGCACCAAGCTCAGAGCCCAAACACATGCCTCCTCCATCAGTAGCGGCCTCTGGGCGTAAGACTGGGCAAGCGGCTTCAGAGAATGCCATTGCATCGTCCAACTCAGCGTCCCCAAGACCCGCACCTATTGCGAGATACAGCAGCGCCTTCAGCCACCGCCGTGGTAGACCTTCTTCAGGAGGAATAAACAAAATTGAGGATGACGCTTCTAGTGGTAAAGCAAGTGCAACATCGTCCGGCGCTCAGCCCGGCTCTGCGTTACTTGCGGAGGTCACTGGAACGAGCGCAGATTCTCTTCACGCAGATGATGAGAACATTTCCGAATTTTTGAAGATGCTCGACTTGCGGAAGGACTTGTTGAGTCCTTCGAATTCGTCCAACCTCGATGCCGTTGCTCGCAGGACGACGGTCACAAGTGCAGCCCTAACTCGATTCCAACGTATGCGTGACTCAAATGCCGCTCTCTCAGACTCAATGTCATCGTCCCTGCTTCTGCAACGTTCATCCAATGCCTCGAGCAAGCAACTCTCAGGAGTGCCACCAATGGTAGCTGGGGCATCCGTTTCCACGGCCTCTTCACCTGGGAAGCCTATATCACCTCATACCCCCCACACCCCGGCTATACCTTCTCGTCTAAGTTCAAACAGTATTGTCGATTACAATGATCCCGGGCACAGCGACCGAAGACTCCTTCATGGAGGTCCCACCTCGCTGCCTGAGGATACCACGGGCGAAGAGACATCCTTGGTGCATCGGCCTTCCACAGTTACTGCGATCGATATTCCGACATCTCCGCGCATCTTTCCTCCTACATACCGTCGCTCTAGCTCTGCCGCTCAGAACCGGCGTTCTGTCGTGGCTGACGAGGAGGAAATTTTTCCTTTCAATATGCGCAGTGTCAGTCTTGGTGCGGAGGAGCGAACCAATGTCAGTTTGAGCACGCTGCATCGGCGACACGAATACCAGAATGCCGCCACAAATCCTGAACAACAACAGGAAAGTCAGCGTTCTTCATCATCGTCGGACCAAGGCCCGACTGCGCTCCCGAGCCCGGCTAAGCGTGAAACCCGCTCACAGAGGGATGCGATTGTGTCTGGGCAGACACCAGAATTATCCTCGTCTGCTAATCACAACTTGTATCAACCGCGCTTGGGCCGTGGCCGAGGATCTTTTGGTGGCGCCCATTCCCTGAGCTCCGGCTCTAGCAGCTTAGCTCGTGGCGGTGGTATACCCACCTACCTCACTGAGCGCGACAATGACCGGGATGGCAACGCAAGCGGTAGCAATAGTGGTAACTCAACGACGGAAGAGCGACGAGGATCTGGGCGCCGTGTCAGTGCGGGCCGCAACTATCCACCACATTCGGCGCAGGTCGAAGAGGATGAGCCTTTGCTGTTTGCCATGAGTGATTTCGGGGCTTCTAGAAGAAGCTTTGAAGAGGGCAGACAAGGCAATCATGGTACTGACTCCGGTGGTTCGCGACGCGGCAGCGGCAGACGTGGTGCCGGCCTCCCGGGCTTTCACGTTTGGTCTTGATAAAACCAGGAATAAACGCTCAACGAGAGTTGCCGAACTTTTCTTGTCCTGGAATACGTTGAAAGTTCCCACTCCAAGCGCTCGTTCTACGGTACAACCGGATTATTCTGAATATCAAGGACTTTCTCCGATGGTCCATACGCGCTGCGCGCTTCGATTACATATTCAATTTCTACAACTCTCTTTCTTCCCTACCCCTCACCATCATCCGTGAAGATGATACTTCTTTTATCCTCCATCATCTTGATATGATTTCATGGATACGGCATCGCCGAATCGCATACTCCAAGTTCTGGATTTAGTTTGGCGCATTGTCTACTCTTTAAAGTAATGAGCCTTCGATTTCTCTTTATTGCCACACGAGTGAGGTGGCTACCTCTATAGACTGAGCAAGACAGCAATTGCAGCTTACTGAGGAAATAGAATGACTCTTGTTTTCTTTTTTCTTTTCTTTTTCATGTTTTCAAAAGATTGATCTTTGCTTTCGAGGATGGTTTTCCTTTCCGTTTGGGCTTGCTACATTTCTTATCTCAGCCTGCAACTAGGCTTCTTATTCCCGTCGCAAGTTTGCTTTTTGTCTCCTTTAGCATGTCCATATATACTTCTGTATTTTGAGCAACCTGGTTTCAGATTGGGTCTGATTTTTGACTAGGCGGGTCTGGAAACAGTTTTGGAGTAGGAGTTCAATCTGACGATGACACAGATAATGCAATGAAAGAAAGACTTTTCAATCAGACAGTTCTAAATGAGTCTCTTAACATATGCACGAGAAGCCGCCCTAACCCATCTATAACGCCCCTCGTACTCCTTTTGTTGGTGCTGGTATATGTACATGAAACTTCTTCAAAGCATGCGGATAAAACGTACCCTCTATAGTGCAGCTGATTGCAGTCCGTTGCAGAAGATGTGGGTTTAGAAGAATGGCTAGATCCCTCGACCTAGTACCAAGACCCCTAAAGGCTCATACGGCGGTTTGGATGATGCCATTGACATAGTAGCCTATACAGCGTGCTAGTCTCTGTTACCTAGCAAAGCCCAAGCTGGGCTGACCGCCAGAAAAATGCGCTGCTCGCGAGCTCCTATAACGTCCGGCCCAATACGAGGCGTGAAGGTAGCAGCGAAACTTGGTGGAGGACCTCAGGTACGATCCTTCATCACATCCTTCGGAAGGTGTTACCAGAAGCGCTGCGGCGCTCCTTAGACTTGTAATCACTGCTCGCAGGAGTATGCGCAGGCGCCTTGTTTTGCTTTGACTTGCCCTGCGGCATGAATGTGAATTCTCTTTCTCCAACCACGCCGCCACGACGCGCGGGTTTGGTTTTCGTGCGCATATTCTGGGCGCGTGAAGCGAATGACCGATCGCGGGTGGAATGGCTCGTTGTTGAGGAGGAGACGCGCATCTGGGGCGGGGGACGGTTAGTGCGCTTGTATGAGGATGTGGAGATCTTTCCGGAGCGCGGGGATCTGCTCCGAACAGGTCTTTCTGCTTCGCTTGCGGATGAGTCGTCGTCGGAGCTGGAGCCGGGGACTTCGTCCACCTCTTCTTGTTCGGCGGCGGTGAGGCCGCGTTCCCTGCGTTCGGCGGGCTCGGGAGCGGTGCTTGGGTTAAGGAGCTGGAACTCCCGTGAAGTTTCGTCGACGGCGAATTCCTCATCCTCGAACATCTTCGCGAAACGGCTGTCGCCCAAAAGACCGGCGGCCGGCTTCTCGGCTGCGGGAGCTTCAACCATATCCTCGTCTCCGCCCTGTTTCAGAACGCGCTGCGCCTGGCGCCGCTCGTTCTTCTCTTCGATAGCCATGAGTTTCTCTGCCAGTCTCTTGTTGACCTTGACGGCAGCCTTCTTCTTGCCTCTAATGCGAGACTCCCGTTCCTTGTCGATCTTCTCCTTAACTCTCTTCGCGCGCTCTTCCTCCCAGATGTACGGATTCGTGATCAGACGAGCCTCCTCATACAAGCGTTGAGCGACGAAGTAACCATGCATATAAGGTCGAAGAAGGTTGGTCCGGCCAATCAGATGATCCAGGTTCAAAGTCTTGAGCTGAGGAACAGTCAAGAACTTGTAGTTGTCGTAAATAGCGCCTGTCTGGCCTGTACTGAAAGCATTAGGATCGTTAGGATCTTCCGCCATCTCCTCAACGAGGTTGTCCAGGAATGAGCACCACCTGGGAGCTGGGCCCAGTTGAGGAATGAAGAATGCATGCTGCTGTCGGCCTTCGTTGGCTGTCAAAAGCATTCCGCTATCTTTGCACCACGCGACTGAGTTGATATCGACGGCAGGCTCGACTGATGTCCAGGGCTTGCCATCACGGGGGTCCCAAATCTTGATAATCTTCTTGTCAGAAGAGAGGATTTTGGGCTCCATGGTCTGTTCGCGTGTGAATGTCGAGGGCTGGAGGAACTTCAGCGTGTGGACGGGGAAGCCATATCCTTGATCCTTCTTGAGCAGGGGCACTGGGGACCGAAGATCGTACAAATGGATCAGACCATTCGACGAACCAGCTGCAAACGTCAATCCCGAGCGATGGAACTCTAATGCCGTTATCTCAGATCGTGCGTCATCCGGGCCGGTCTGATTAGGGGGTAATAGGACTCCTGCCCTGCCCTTGGCTCGTGGATCCCATAGTTCTACCGTTCCCATCGAGGTACCGAAAGCGAGAAGGTTGTGGCTTTCCTCCGCGATAGCCCCCGTGTTCACTGCCCCCGTGTGGATACCTCCTTGTAACGTCCCACCGCCGGTCGATGTGAAATCGTCCCCACCAACATCTACCTCGAAACTCCGCATATACCGGCCCATCTCTAGATTGAGCCTGAACACTTCTCCCATACCATCTTGATTAACACCAACAGCCGGCACTAGAACCTCAGTCGACTGCCTGTCGTAAACCAAATCGCGACCATATCTGGGAAGCCTCGTCCGGTAATGGCAGCCTGAGGGTGTATGGAACTCGAGCGAACGATCGGATTGCAGATGGATCGACTTTGAGTAATCAGAGGACAGAAGAAGGAACGTCGTATTGAGGGCATCTGTATGCCGCGCCCAAGATAGAGACAGTTGGGGAAGGTAGTGAGTATGAATTTGAGGCTTGTAGGTTCCTTCACAACACCATAGTCAGTTGCGAGACTCATTTAAAACAGTATAAACTTCACCAGGTAAAACCGACCTGTGCTCATCACCCATTCGCCATCTTCGCTAACTCGAATACATTGACTAGCTTCTTCGAACTCGAAATCCTGCAGCAGCTCTATGCGATTGGCATACTCGGGGTCATTTTTCAAACTGCGCTTTCGCCGCCGTGCAAGCCATTCGGGAAGTGGTCGAGCGGTATTTGACCCCGAAATGGTGTACACTGGAACCTCAGATTGATTGGAGAGCTTCATATTTGCTCAGTAACTGCTCCAGCGATCGAGGGGACACTGAGATTGCTGCGACCACCACAGCGAAAAATTGTTGCTGCTCTCCAAAGATATCGCTCACTGATAAAAGAAAAAAAGTTGGGTGGAGACAATCGATAGCTGGGCGCACGTGACAGTGACATTGCGGATGCAGATCACACTTGATTGGTCGAGGCGGCCCGAGCCAAACTCCGTCGGGTCTCGATGGCATCGGACGGAGCTGTCTGGATAAATGGCCCTGTCTCGTTTCTCGACATTACTACTGATGATGCATCAGTGTTAATATTATTGATCATGAGATGATTTCGAAAGTCTTTGCTTGATAAGGGTACCTTTGCTTTTGATGCCATCAGTAGAATCTGTTTCCGAACCCTTTCCGGTACACTTATGCCTTGTGAAGCAATGGCATCAGAAAGCTGGTCTGTTTGCTGATTTCTGTGATAAAATCCATGTGCTATGGGTTGCTCATTTCATACATGATTTTCTACCCTAATCTCTCTGGAAATGATTCCAAACCCAGCAACGGATGTTTCCTTGGCCACTTATAAAAGAAGCCATTACGACTAAATCATGGATTTTCCCGGAGGGTCCATCACGAACATTCGCGTCATTGTACGCACGCCTTGCAGTTGACATATGGGCAATTCGCTAACATAGCCTTGCAGGATGGGTTCTCCAACATATACTGGAGAATCTATACGGAAGAGCCCAACATCGCCACGCTATCGGGCGACTCGCCGACTAATGGCTTCACTATCCTTAGGCATCTAAGTCGCCTCAAGGACCTCGAACTTCGACTGAGGAACCTTGATTGCCTAGTATCAAGCTATCCTAGACGGCTTGGCCTATGGGTATTCTCCGCGACCCCAGATTTCGAGAGCCTGGGCCCTTTGTGTTCAAATGGGACGAACGATGATCCAAGTAAGCTTTTCGTGGATTCGGCTACCCTCAAAGGTTCGTTTCTTGGTCCATTCCCTTCTTCTCGTTGCCCTTACGAGTCTTTATGCTGATCCCTTGGTAGTCTCGGCTTCCGGAAGTGTGACTTCAAAGGAGCTGGTGAAGAACCTCTCCGCGGAACCAGTCAACGCAGCCACGAATTCACAAGGCGTGCAAAGACGTCAGAATGGCCCCAACCCACCAAGGCGAACGGATGGCCATGGTAGCTCTGCTGCAATTTACGCATCTTTTATTTCCGCTGTCACTGGTGCATTAAGCCTACAGTTGATTCGATGCAACAATGCCATTCCCCTTGGATCACGGACCTTGTTCACTGTCGTTGCAGAAGATTACTACGACAACCCCAGAATTGATAATGATAACCCTGCTGCAGTCCCTTCACTTACTACCTTACAAATTCAGCTCACATCAGTGGGAAAGTTGACCGTTTCGTTGCAAACAATATCCCAACCTGGCATCATACGACTCTGCGGGCCTTATGATACCTCTGTAGGAGTTCACAATGCCCACCCAGGGTGCGATCTATGGCTATCCCCGAGCGGCTCAATTGCAAGACTGGTCGCAACCCATTCAGATTCCCAGAATGCTTCTTCTGGACACACAATGGCCAATCCTCCAAACACGTCAAATCTCGAGGAATGGAAAGCACTTGTGATAGAGTGGCTCGGAAATTATGGCTTGCCGCTGATCTCCTCTGAAGAAGAACCCTGGGTTGAAGTTGAAGTCTGGGAGCCCTTTTACTCAAGGTTAGCTGGGGAGATTTGGCGACAAAACGAGGAAGGCGCCTCTGTACTTCCTCTGAAGCGAATTCTATGGCCGGCCAGATACTGCTTCACAAGAAAGAAACCAACATCTTTGGACCCATTTCTCGGAATTAATGATTCCTTTCCCGTCATCGACGAACCATTGGGATTTGCAGAGAAATGGCTCGGGATGGGTCAACTGAATCATGAGGAGACAGACTCGAAGCCCGCGTCCCGGCCCGAACCAGAAACAAAAGACCAAGAAACCCCTCTGTCCAGGCCGGACCTTCCAGAAGGCATAGAGAGCCTTTCAAGAGCTGCAGAGTACCCTGACCTTCAGGCTTCAAATCTGGTGTATCCGACCCCGCCAGACGGAGCTTTTCCTGTGGGACCCAATGCACCACCCGCCTCGGACGCCGCGGCTGAAGATCTAGATTCTAGACATCTCACGAATCGAGCCTTGGCCAAAGTAAAAACTAAGGAAGGGGCATCCGCCAGAGAGCGCTCCGATCATGATGTGCTTATGAGTTTTGGCCCATCTCCTGGACTCATTGTTGGATCCGGACTATATGACACTAATGATGATGATGATCTTTTTGGGGAGATAAACCAGAGGGACTTTGGATCCAAAGGGATTACTGACGCTGACTTCAGCTTCTTTGATGACCCTGAGTTTAACCATTTAAGCGGAGATGTGAACGAAATGGATGTTGGTGCTCAAGAAACGCCTGAAATTACTGTTGATGCCGAGGAGCCCAAACCACATCCTCTCCCTCTTGAACAACCCTTAACCGATAATCTTCCCGGACAAAGAGACACAACAGAGCAGATTGACACAATTCCTGCCCATCCGCAAGAGAAGATATCAAATCCTCAGCCTGCAGATGTACCTTTGTCCGCCAGCATGCAAATATCTTCGCCTGTCAATGAAGATAACCAAACAATCAGCCCCCCACTCAGTCCTATCGAGGTAAAGAAAACGCTTTTTGCTGGGCCCAATGAAGACAGTAAATTGTCTGTTAAAAAAGGGCACTTGCAGGGCCATTACAACCCTGTTGCTTTCAAGAAGAACATACTGGACTGGGATCAGAAGTATGGAGCAGAAGGCAAATTTAGGGTCACTGGCGCCGTCGTGAACCATCATACAGTCCCCACTAGTACTACTGGTGATATCCCAACGATCGGCCTCCCCCGCCGCAATGCGCGAACAAAGAATCCTCACGGCCCTGCAAGGAACAACGATAAACCCAGAAGTCCAGCAAGTGATTTGGATCAGCCTATACCATCAGACTCGGATTTTGACTCGACTAGCGACACGAGCGATGACAGTGATGGGAACCTTTCGAACAGCGATGAGTCTGTTGCTACATTTGTTACTCGCAAAAGGAAGCGTGCTCGGTCTTATTCGGGGAGTTCGGTCAACCTACCGCAGCAGAAGCCTTTGGCGAGATCCGAACAGTCGATCGCTACCTCCAGGACCGACGATCTAGTTTTTTTGGGCAATTTCCTTTCCACTTTTTCTGACTGGTCTATGACAGGTTATTTTTCCGCGACTCAAAAGCAGTTGGCCCCTGTGCTCATTCGCAAGGATGCTCAAATCCAGGTTGCCCAGCTCCTGGTCGATCAGGTCACGCAGTCCTGCCTTGATCATAAGGTCGATGGCATCTTGAGCGTCTCAGAATTTGAGAGTAAGGCATACTGTCTACGAACATTTCTCGAGGATACAGCCTTCATGGGTGAGATTGAGAGACTTGACTTGAATGGCTTCGTGTCACTGCAGGAGAACAGTGGCCTTTCCTCTCCGTCAACAGCTACTATGTCGCGTCAGTCATCTCAACGCAAGGAAAATGGAAAAAGCTCGATGTCGAAGCTCGCCCCGCCACATTTGCGTATTCGTCGCGGTAAAGATTACCTAGAAGTTCTGCCACCCGCAATTTCATTTTGGGAGACTTTCGGCTTGGAACCTGCCTACGGGTCAAAGGACATCTACGCTTATTGTATCCACCCTCAGATTGCAGCTGAAGCGGCAAATGATTTTCTTGAGCGGCTAGGCCTGTTATATTCGAGCTGCAACCTTGGTCAGCATACGCGAGCTAGCAGGTCGACTGGCTTCGACCGTGGGATGTGTTCTTGGAACATCGGCGCACCTGGCGAATTCAATTATCACTATATAATGCAATCACTGAAGTCAATATGCGACAAGCTAGGTATGTGAAGAGCTAGACTGACATTGATTCACGACTAATCCTCCTTCAGTGACGGCTCTTTTGAAAAGCCCACCGATGAAAGATACTGTTGTCGTCTACATAATCAATCCATTCAGCCACGCCGCGGCTCTAGCGGACATTTGCTCCGCTTTCTGGGGCCTCTTTCAGAAATATATCGATGAAGTGGAAAAGCAGCAAGCTGGTCAAGCAAAAGAACTTGTCTTGCAGATTGTCCCATTCCATTTCATCATGTCGACTGAATCTCTAGTCGTACCACCGCAAGCTCAATATTTAAGCTTGGCCCTAGAGGTCTATAGTCGGTGTCCACCGAAAAGCTTGCAGTCTTGTCTGCTTAACTGTGCTCCACCAATGCTGATCGCAGAGCCGGTCCCGAAGACTATTAATTTCAAGCTTGCGCCGGATAGCTCATCTCCCCTTCAGGAAGCGAAAAGTCTTCATATTGCATGCTCAAGAAGCTATGATCAACGCTGGGTATCCGTATCGTGGACCGATAACACAGGTACTTTACAGCGAACGATATCTTACTGCTTGCGCTTCCAGAACTCAAACGCCGCCAGAAATATTCTGGAAGTACGAAATGAAATCTGGGCTGCAACCAAAATCATCATGGAGAAGACTCAGGCGCGGTGGAAAATCATCATCGTCAACACGGAGCCCGTGGACCAGGATGAAGTCGATAGTAAGTTTCTGACCGTTGTCATAGCGCTCAAGCGGGCGTCGCTAACCTTCTTCAGCGTGGACGAGCCTGGTTGAGCAATATAACATGACGAAGCCGTTCCTTTCAGACTTGACCATTCTCTACGTGAATACCACGCCTGATCTCTACCTTGAGCCTCCGCCTCAGCCATTACCCATGAGTGTCTTCAATCCCCAGATCTCATCCACGCCTGTAGCGACACCTAATCCTAGTGGGAATGCTTTCTCGCCGGAACAACCTGGTAACGCACCGACTCCCCCAAGCGGTGGAAATGCCCCTACACCTACGGAGATTCCGCCTGACGCCGAGTCTGAGTGTCTGCTCACAGACATCTGCGACGAATCATGGGGCATCATACTT